CCTGTAGCTCAGCAGCCAGGGCGCCAGCCACATATGCCAGAACTGCCAGGTTCGAATCCAGCCTGGGCCTGCCAAACAACAGTGACAACTACAACCAAAAAGAATAGCTAGGTGTCGTGGGCACCTGGGGGGCTGAGACAAGAAAAGTCACTTTAAGCTCAAGAGTTTGAGGTTGCTATGAGCTGTTACACCACAGCTCTCTACCAAGGGCAACATAGTGAGACTCTGTCTCAAAAAAAAAAAAAACCCCAAACCCCAATTTCCTGTACAATGAGAAATGAAAACTGTATTAAACTTTAAAACATTTAAAAGTAAGTTAAAAGGTATTTTTACATACATCTCAATACTTCAAGAATTAGATCAGGGTCTGTGGTCAGCTTTTTTATTTCTTCCATGTTGGCAACTGTCCAAATTGGGATGAACTGATCACTATCCATTTGAGATATCAAGTAAAGGTCCTTTGACAAATTTTCTCTGAAAGGAATAAAAAGAAGCAATAGTTCAACAAAACAAGCAACTCTTAAAAAAAAAAAAGCACCTAAAAAGAGGTACGTTATTCACATTTGTCACTAAATATGGGAAAACAAAATTATGCTATCAGAAACGACACAGTGAACTTTGAAAAGGTTCAGTTAAAGGTTCAATTTAAAAGATACCAACACAGTATATATAGATCAGATTGTATCATCTTCTATACTTTCTGAACCCCAAACACAACTGAACCAGAAGTTTTAGATGAGCTATTTTATGAAATTATACTGATATAGAAGAGGCTTAATATTAAGCAGAATGCTAACATACTACTACATATGGTGCAGTTCCATCTTATAAGCACTTTATCTCAGATTTCAAAATACTTATATTGAAAAACTGGTTTATTTCTAAATTAGCTCAAAAAGGATTTTCAATTTCTAAATGCTTACATTTTCATAAGCACATATAACTTCTATAACTTAAATATTTAAAATTAAGACAAAAGACTTAAGTACACTAAAAAAACAAAACAGCAGCCTGGGCATGGTACTCATGCCTATAATCCTAGCAATTTAGGAAGCTTAACTGGGAGGACTGTGCAAGCCCAGGAGTTCAGGACCAGCCTGAGCAATGTAGTGAGACCCTTTTTCTCTCTCTAAAAAAAAGAAAACAATAAAAATAAAGAAAGAAATTAGCCGGGCATGGAGGTATTCCCAATATACAGCTCGTTTTCCCCATATAATTTTTTCTGAGTTTTGAGAAGGAAGATGGGAGATTGGGAGCCAGGCTGAAATGGCAATGTAAAATCTGAGTGGCCTTGTGATTAAGTCCCAGAGGAAGAAGAAATGCTCCAAAAAACACAAGTCTTCCTCACAAGATATTTATCTGATTTTTGAAGCTGTAAGGGCTAAGTGACTAACGAGCTAGTCTCGAAGCTCTGTAGAACACATCTAAATCTCTATGGTGTTTTAGGATCAAGGTGACAAAAAACTGCCAACCTGTAAATCAAAAGCCAGAGAGGACCATGTACAAAGAATAGCAATATTATCAGAGATGAACTGAGTCTAATTAAAGTGATTGCTCAGCCTTAACTCAGCTGAATTCCAGATTAGAGTAGAACAATCAACATTTTATTGTGTCTTTAACAGAAAAAAGCTTAATCTCTGTCCGCAGGGAAAAATTATAGTTATCTGAAGCTTCCATGCTTTTTTGGCGTCATCACTGCAACTGCAAGCTCATGGGTTCAGTGATCCTCTGCCTGAGCCTCCCAAGTAGCTGGGACTATAGGCATGCCACCTTGCCTGACTAATTTTTTCTATTTTTGGTAGAGATGGGGTCTTGCTTTTGCTGAGTCTGGTCTCGAACTCCTGACTTCAAGGGATTCTCCCACCGCAATCTCCAAGAATGTTAGGATTACAGATATAAGCCACTGCACATGGCTTATGCTTCTTTTTACATGCCATGTATAGCATACGATCAAAATGAACAGAATATACAAAAAGTCAAAAAGTTACTGGGTAGTGCGTGTGGCTCAGTGAGTAGGGCGCTGGCCTCATATACGGAGGGTGGCGGGTTCAAACCTGGCCCTGGCCAAACTGCAACAAAAAAATAGCCAGGTGTTGTGGTGGGTGCCCGTAGTCCCAGTTACCTGGGAGGCTGAGGCAAAAGAATCACTTAAGCCCAAGAGCTGGAGTTTGCTGTGAGCTGTGACGCCACAGCACTCTGAGGGCGACAGAGTGAGACTATGTCTCTAAATAAAAAAAAAAAAGTGAATTTTAAGAGAGGCACAACTGATAAAAGAAAGCCAGGAGGCTCTTGCTTTCATCCCATGATCTATACTAAAATATGAAGGCTAAGAATAATGAGGGAAAGAAAAGGAAGATATTTAAAATAAAGATAAGATATTTAGAATAAAGATAAATTAAACCAGAGTCAAGAGTGTATTTTGAGCCAGGCATGATGGTTTACGCTTATAACATTGGCCTCTGGCAAGATTGCTTAAGACCAGGAGGTTCAAATCAGCCTGACAGAGAGATTCTACCCCTTTAAAATATGTAAAAGTTAGCAGGCTGGGGCAGTGACTTATGCCTATAATCCTAGCTCTCTAGGGGTCCAAGGAGGGTGAGTTGCTTGAGCTTAGGAGTTCAAGACCTGGCTCGGTGCCTGTGGCTCAAGTGGCTAAGGTACCAGCCACATACACCTAAGGTTGTGGGTTTGAATCCCCAGCCCGGGCCCACCAAACAACAATGATGGCTGCAACCAAAAAAAAAAAAAAAAAGTTGTGGCGGGTGCCTGTGGTCCCGGCTACTTGGGAGGTGGAGGCAGGAGACTCGCTTGAGCCCTGGAGTTGGAGGTTGCTATGAGCTGTGATGCTATGGCACTCTACCCAGGGGGACAGCTTGAGGCTCTGTCTACAAAAAAAAAAAAAAGAGTTCAAGAACAGTTCAAGACCCCATCTGGGGAGGAGAGCAGGGGAAGGAAAAAGAATAAAAGAGAAGAAAATGATAACCACCATTCTTCTATTGTATTTCACAGGTAGTTTACATCTATTAACCAAAGTCAAAAAAGTGGAAATACTAATAAAAAAGGATTATGTACCGTGAGAAACAAAATTCTAATTGTTTCTTCAGACATTCTTTTAGGTCTTCTGTAGAAATTGCTGAATTGCTTTCTCCTGATGATAGAAAACAAGAAGGGAAAAAAGTTAATGCCAAGTTACCACAGGTGGTGAACTTTATTATTGTACTCAGAAATCACAAAGTATCCATAATTGTAAAATCGAGCATAAAATTGTATTTTTTATTATTTTAAAATTTGGACAGGGGCAGCACCCACAGCTCAGGTGGGCAGGGTGCCGGCCACATACACCCAGGTTGGTGGGTTCATATCTGACCCATGCCAGCTACACAATAATGACAACTGCAACAACAACAACAACAAAAATAGCCGGGCATTCTGGTGGGCACCTGTAATCCCAGCTACTTGGGAGGCTGACGTAAGAGAATGGCTTAAGCCCAAGAGTTTGAGGTTGCTATGAGGGGTGACACCACAGAACTCTGCCCAGGGAAACAAAGTGACACTCTGTCTCAAAAAAAAAAAAAAAATTTGGACAGTTTAAAGTCTAATTTTTTCATCCTGTCTTGCTTCAAATAGATTTCACATTAGTTTAAGAGTTATATTACTGTGTTTCCCCCAAAATAAGACACTATCTTATATTTATTTTTTCTCAAGAAGACACACTAGGGCTTATTTTCAGGGGATTTTTTTTTTTTTGGGTGGGGGCTGGGTTTGAATCCACCACCTGGTCAGCACCACCCAGGATGTCTTATTTTTATTAAGTATAATACAACAATCTACATTTATTCAAATATAGTTAAGTCATTTTCTGGAACCTGACAGGGGTAGCCGACCTTCTTGGTGGGGCTGGCGCTATAACGGGTGAACTACTTTCCTGTAGCCGTTTGCATGTGAGCAATAGGATGCCTGTAACCACGTTTACCACTAGCACCCTGCACAAGTGCGAATGGATCGGAGAAAGGAGGTGTGGCAGATAAAAGGTATTCCAGTCTTCCTTACCACTCCGCACCGAAATGCATGGCATGGCTGTGCAGATATGCTGCATAGCCACGCCCACCACTAGGTCTCATTATTGGGGTAGGGCTTATATTTAACAAGTGCATAGAAATTCTGCTAGGGCTTATTTTTTGGGTAGGTCCTATTTTGGGGGAAACACGATATTAAGAAATTAACAAAGCATCATTAATACCAAAGCACTTGGCCACCATATTGTGAAACTTGGCTCTAAACACTTTAGCAATGTGGTAACTACTTATTCCTTTAATGTAAACTAAAGGAACAAAAACAGTAATCTAAATTTGAATGGTGGTGCCCACCATTCAAATGTAAGCACCAGCCCACGTACACTGAGTCTGGAGGGTTGGAACCCTGCCGGGACCAGCTAAAACCACAATGGCAACAACAACAACAAAAAAAAACAGCTAAGCGTTGTGGTGGGCGCCTGTAGTCCCAGCTACTTGGAAAGCTGAGGCAAGAGAATCGCTTTAAGCCCAAGAGTTTGAGGTTGCTGTGAGCTGTGATGCCACAGCACTATACTGAGGACGACATAGAAAGTCTCAAAAAAAAAAAAAATAAAAAGCTTTAGTAGTATAGAAATTTTCTTTAACTACAATGATAATAGAATATGTAAGTGTCAAAAATCTGAAAAAAGGGGCAGTGCCTGTGGCTTAGTGAGTAGGGCACTGGCCCCATATACCAAAGGTGGCAAGTTTGAACCCAGACCTGGCCAAACTACAACAACAACAACAAAAAAAATCTTAAAAAGGCTCAGCGCCCATACCACAGTGGTTCTGGCGCTGGCCACATACACCTAGGCTGGCAGGTTCAAACCTGGCCCCAGGCCTGCTAAACAACCATGACAACTGCGGAAAAAAAAAAACTGCCGGGCATTGTGGCAGGTACCTGTAGTCCCAGGTACTTGGGAGGCTGAGGCAAGAGAATCACTTGAGCCCAAGAGGTTGAGGCTGCTGTGAGCTGTGATGCCACGGCAATCTACCAAGAGCGACAGTGAAACTCTGTCTCAAAATGAAACCAAAAAAAAAAAAAAATTAAAAGTTAATAAGAAACAATCTTTCTTTTTATGTATCATATATGCACTCCTAATACAAATTCACCGACCCAAATGCTAGCTAAATAAGCCACTAATTCGTTTAACTTTCCAATGTCATTTACAGCAAACCTACTAAAACACCAACTGGTTGCCACATCACTTAAACCAGCTCTGTAGTCAAAGTAGCCAGTGGTTAACATTAAGACTGCAAGGCAGGGCATGGTGGTTCACACCTGTATTCCTAGCACTTTGGGAAGCTGAGGCGGGTGGATTGCTCGAGCTCAGGTGTTCCAAACCAGCCAGAGCAAGAAGAGATGAGTCCTTGCATCTACTAAAAACTAGCTGGGCATCATGGTGGGTGCCTACAGTCCCAACTACTTAGGAGCCTGAGGCAAGGGGATTGCTTGAACCTCAGAGTTTAAGGTTGATGTGTGCTACGATGATGCCATGGAACTCTACCCAGAGTGAGAGTGAAACTCTGTCTTTAAAAAAAAAAAATTAGGAATACAGGTAGAAGTCAGTATCATCCTTAAATTACCATATGTAATTGTCATTTTCTTGTTTGAAATCACCTTATAAGTTGATAGACCTTAGAAATCAAGTCCAAATGTGTATTACAAGGTAACTGAGGACAAAAGTTCATATACCTTGTCTGAAGTCACAAAGCTACTTAACAGCAAAAACAAAAATAACCTATTGCATATTACAATTATTTTTTAAAGAGACCCTGTAGTTATTAGAAAAACAAAATTAGGGTTTACGTTTTATTTTTAGTTTAATTTTTTTCCTTTTATTTATTTTTTGAGACAGAATCTCACTGTGTCACCCTGTAAAGTGCTGTGGTGTCACCATAGCTCACTGCAACCTCAAACTTCTAGGCTGAAGTAATCCTCCTGCCTCAGCCTCCAGAGTAGTTGGGACTACAAGTGTATACTACCACACTCAGGTAAATTCTCTTTCTCTTTTTTAAGACAGAGTCTCACTTTGTTGCCTGTGGTAGAGTACCATGGCATCACAGCTCACAGCAACCTCAAACTCCTGGGCTCAAGTGATTCTCTTGCCTTAGCCTCCCAAATAGCTAGGACTATAGATACCTGACAGAATGCCTGGCTATTTTCAGAAATGAAGCCTCACTCTGGCTAAGGCTGGTCTTGAACCTGTGAGTTCAGGCAATCCACCTGCCTCAGCCTCCCAGAGTGAACCCTGCCTGTACAACTTTTCTATTTTTGGTAGAGACAGGGTCTTGCTATATTCTTCAGGCTGGTCTCAAACTCCTAGTCTCTAATAATCCACCTGCTTAGGCCTCCCAAAGTCCTGAGTTATAGGTGTGAACCACCTCACCCAGCCACTTTCTTTTCAATTTTGTCTAGTTTAAAATAAAAAATTACTAATCCATGCTGAGTAATGGAATTTGAAAACTAATTTTCTATGTTGAATTGTAACAGAGCCCATGATTTTATTTGTTTTTTGAGACAGAGTCTTATTGTTGCCCTCGGTAGAGTACTGTGGTGTCACAGCTCACAGCAACCTCAAATTCTTGGGCTTATATAATTCTCTTGCCTCATCCTCCCAAGTAGTTGGGACTACACGCGCCCGCCACAATGCATGGCTACTGTCTTATTGCAGTGGTCATTGTTATTTAGTTGGCCCAAGCTGGGTTTGAACCCGCCACCTTCAGTGTATAGGGCTAGTGCCATAACCACTGTGCTATGGCACCAAGCCTAAATAATCTTTTTAAATCACAAATTTCACGTATGGGTATTTGATATAGTCCTTATTTATAATAATCACTTAACATTTCATTAACATCAACTTTCTGGCAAGCAAGAAAATAATGCCACAGGTTCATCAGAATAATGATAAACAGACTTTGGGATATAGAGTAGTCTAGTGTACTAAATTCTTTTAACAATAAAACTGTAATATTTACCAGAAACATCATATATTTGGTAACCCAAATCTTCTGGTCCTAAAATCATTCCATCAGTTGACTCTTCAATGCCTGTAGTATTTCTTGTGCTTTCACAAGATGGAGAATACATTACTTCATATTCCTTACACGTATCTTCTGATGGCTCTGTATTACCTGTATGAAAGAAAAGAAACTGAAAGTAAATAGGAATTCTTTAAATTCTATCTTTGGGAACTTTTGGACTGCATGTCTTCTATAACAAGAGTTCAAGACATTCGACTAATTGGGAAAATATCCACATGTTTTAAGTAGAAGTTATCTCCACAGAGAGATAAGTTTTGACCATTATGACTAAGCTAAAATGATTAACAATAACTAGAATTTATACAGCATTATCTATGTACCAGGCTACTCTATGCATTTTATTTACTTAAGTCTCAGAAAATAATATGCTATACGCAATTATTATGGTTTCTGTTTTACAGATGGAGAAAACAAGCCCAGAGATGTTAAGTTTTTTCCCAAAGGTCAAAAAGTGAGTTAATAACAGAATCAATGATTGTAAGTCCAAACTAATTTATAAATATATTATGAATGGGTTAAATGCTGGACATCTACTACTTAAAAGTAGTGACAATCCGGGCAGCACCCGTGGCTCAGTGGGTAGGGCCTTGGCCCCATATATTGAGGGTGGCAGGTTCAAACCCAGCCCCGACCAAACTGCAACAAAAATATAGCCGGGCATTATGGTGGGTGCCTGTAGTCCCAGCTACTCGGGAGGACAAGGCAAGAGAATTGTCTAAGCCCAGGAGTTGGAGGTTGCTGTGAGCTGTGTGACGCTGCGGCATTATACCAAGGGTGATAAAGTGAGACTCTATCTACAAAAAAAAAAAAAAAAAAGGAATTACAATCCATTCATGTGGGATGTAAATGAAAATTATTCACAAACTACACATTAATTATAAATACATGTAATCAAACAATCAAAGGATATATCCCAAAGTTCTATATACTGGTTTGGCCATACATGTAAGCAAAATGAGTCTTTCTGATTAAATATTTAAAACTTACCCTCAGGATGAGACCCTGATGTGGCTGCTGTTTCATGCCAAGAGCTTTCTGTTCCATGAGTTACTGGGGTGGCATCGGTACTTCCAGTAGGAATTTCTTGCCATACTTTGGCATTAGGATTTAAACCAGTTCCTTTAGATGTTACCTGCTAAATAATCATATGATCTATGGTAAATTTCAAATGTCAGGGCATGAAAATCATAAATTTAGATAAAAGGCCTTTTGCATTACATTTAAATGAGAAGGAAAACTCTAGTAACAATGTTAAATACAAAAAATAATTTAATAGTAAGCAACATTAAAGTTTTTGATCAACTTGACAATATTAAACTTTAAAAGCAGATTTGATCTATATAAAATGTAGCTACCTAGGCTCAGCGCCCATAGCACAATAGTTATGGCACCAGCCACA